CAGAAGGAAAATTGTCTAAAATAAAAACATTACTTTAAAACTCATTTTACACTAATGAGAATTATTTTGGCCCCATATATATAAATCTACATTTATTACAGATGCACAGGTTCATAAAATAAAACTCAACATAGCTACAGACAAAAGGGTTAGACTAAAATTAATGTAATTCAACTTTACATTTAAAAATGTGCAACTTTTATTGTTTTCCAGAAGCTTAAATGTGGCCCCGCTTATCACTTTGTGTTATTACAGTCAGAGCCCTATAGTTACATTTATTAATTAAGCAAACTGCACAGAAATGTGTACATAAAGATCCTTAGTAAGGCACTGAAGGTGGGAACTTTCCTGGAGACGAAATCTTTGACTTACCTTGGTCTATATAAAGATTGCATGTCCAGCAGCTTCTTTTTATTTTAATGCTGCAGGTGAAGTGTATGAAATGAAATATAATAATCTTTACAAAGAACTACTTTTAAATGATCTGTGTATATAGAAATGGGATATGGGAGCTAAAATATAAGCAATCAAATACAATGTGGAACTTATTCTTGAGGCTTGTAAACAGAAAATAAATATATAATTCCCTAGATCACTTTATGAAGCATATTTTATATTTGTTTACTTTTTGGTGCACAGATGTTTTTTTTTTTATAATTGGAATATATATTGAAAACCCTAATTTATTTCATTAATTTAATACCATTCTATTAATTATTAAATAAATATAAAATGATCCCTTGGTAAAATACATGAGTATTATTTTGATTTTTTTTTAATTATTATTGATTCACACCTGAAATAAACTAGCTGAAAATGAGAAAGTTTCATTGAACCAATACAAAATGTGTTTTCTTTAGGTTTTGGCTTACAGAATAGGAGATGGAGACGAATGTTGATTTGACGCACATCTATAATCTTCAAAGGGAAGGTAGGTTACTAAAAGAATTTCATAAAAACACATCACAATATGGACACTTTTTTCACAATATCCTTCCTTGAAGAACACTATTGGAAAGTTATGTGGAAGGAAAAAGTGTTCTAGATAAAGGTAAACAAGCGACGGCAAAGAACACATTCTTGTAAGGATTGCAAGGTAAATTTATTTAAAGAGTTTGCACTGACTTATCCAGGATATAAACTGAAAATCGTGCATTTTTTTGGCTTGCACTGATGTCCATTACTGCACATAGCCAAAGGTACAAGTGCCTGTTTTACTGGCCTTGGCATTACTGATGGTCAATGGCCAGCAAACTGGCCTGACCTAAACAGAGAATTATTTTCAAAGTAAAGATGAGACACCAGACCAAACAGCGTGAATTGGCTGAGAAAAACTATAAAAACATCCTGGGTTTCCTGAACAGCACAGCGGAGCAACAGGCTGATTGCAGCCATGCCTCAACAATGCATGTAAAAGGACTTACAACCAGGTTCACACACTGTACAAAACCTAAGCATACTTTTCAGTAGACCAATATTTGACGTTATATAATATTCACATTTATCTGGAAACTTAATTTGGGGTTTTATCACCAGTACAGCAAGATCATAAAAACTAACTAAAATAAATGCTTAAAAAAATATTACTACTGATAGTCAAACAGACCATCAGCCTGTTTTACTGACAGAACTTATACTCACTCTTCTCAATGTACACCCTACATATTTTTTCTCTGTGCATAATTTTTTTCTGAAAATGTTTCATTTTATTTCAGTCTCTGCAAAAAAAATGTACGGTTTCATAATGAAAGTAAATATTCTTGATTCCTGATTTAATACATTCATATACTATATGGGTTTGGATTATTGAAGTGAATTGTTGAAATAAATGAACTTTTAAATTATATTCTAATGGCTTACAATGTACCTGCAGGGCCAGCTGGACGATGGAAGAGGACTTTGGAGTTTTGATGCTGCACTAATTATACCTAACGAATCCAGAATCTAAACCTTATTAAACAATTCCTGATTATGGTGTGTGAAACTAACAGGGTGTATATAGATTGGTTTTTATCTACCTGCTGCACACTTCATAAAATGTTCATGATATGTTCAAATCTTAGATTCCACCTTAATATACATTTTCTCCAACTAAACTGAGAAAGTTAATTAAAAACATACAAAACAAGGCTTGAAATCAATCATTAAGGACCCCAATGATCAAACCAAAGGTTTGCCTGTTTAGTCAAATATATTTAAAATCCCCCACCAGCCCCCCCAAATGTATTTAAATTGAATTTAATTAAATTGAATGAATTTAAATTAAATCCTATAACTTAAAGGGACTAATGTAATAACCAAGCAAAACATTTTCTTATAAAATCACTTTAAATATATCTCAAATATTGTATAACAAAAAATTGTTAATATATCAAAACAATTAATACTTTAATACATTAACAGCTCAGTAGTTAACTTCATAGCAATCTGATTTAAATGCAGAGATTTATAGGTATAGTGGAGGATTTTTGCACATTTTTAAAAGACCTGCCCTCTCCAAAAAAATGCACATGCACAACCCTGTACCTGCTCCCTACAGGGAACACCTATTAGACGCATGTGAGAGGATGCAGGAGCCCATTTCTTCTTATGCGCACTTTGTTTAAAAGTTGCTGTCTGCACCGCTGTAATAAGCTCACTTTCAAAAATAATATTTGCAATTTTTCCACTATCTCAGACTCACCACCTGTAAGTGAAAATGGGGACGAGCACGTGGGACGGCCTTACGTAAATATATCACCAGAATGATTGACAATTAGGAGGACCACTTATTTTGATGATCCACCCGGAAAAAGAACATCCTCCTCTATACCTTTACATAGCCTTGGACCCAAAAATCCACTCATGCTTACAGCCTTAAGCTAGCCCTCTGCACCTGTACACCTTTAAGTATGTATAAATAAATCAAAATTTATTTTGTGTTGAATAGCTACTTCCCTTTTTTTTTTTGCTTAAAAATGTTTATAAAGATTTAGAAATTGTTGATCTCTAGTGTGTGAATGTGTTGATATCGATTAGATAGTTGTGACTGTATTTTTTTAATCCTTCTAACTCCTTTTAACTCCTTTATGATGTTTTATATTCAAAAATACATTCACAAAAATTATCTCTCCCAAATTTGAATATTTATGTAATTTTATTACAAAAAATTCCCATTTACTTTTTTTATTTTTAGGTAATTTTAACACAAAGCTTGCATATTTTTAGCTGAATATTGTTTATTCATTTTAAATACATAATTTTCAGCATTATTATGGAATTTTATCAGGTTATTTATGCAATTCAAACAATAAACGTTATGTATTTCAAATAAATACAAACATTAGTATTAAGTTTGAGTAAGCATACTTTATTACCGTAATACTAAATGCATACCCTGATGATTACGTATTTCAAATAAATAACTTATGTAATAAATACCTATTTTTATATCTTAGGTTTTTATTTCTATTTTTTTTTTTTTATGCTATGTTTCATTATATTTTATATTTTATTATGCACCGTGGGGTTGAGAGGACTGCAATTTCATCTGTGTTGTATGTTTACCATGTAGCACATTTGACAATAAAGTTGAGTTGAGTTGAGTTTATTATACACATGAATTTGCATCATGGAAGGTTTATTTAAAATGTTTGTGATAAAATGATCTGAAAAAGTACATTTGAATTTAAGTGATAAACTTACATCAATATCAAAATTTGAGAGAAATATTTTTTTTAGTACAAGTTGGGAAAAGAAATTTACTATAAAAGTAATGCATATTATGGTGAAAGGTAATATATGGTAGTCACATTTCTAATTTTATTAAAGAGATTGTATCCAGCAGCCTTAGCTGATTGGAGCTTTTTGGCGTGCAAGTCTATGTTTGTTAAGAAAACAAATGTGGGGCAGATTTGTTGGAAAGGCCCTATGACAGGAAGCCCTACGCCATCACAGGGATGCCAAATAGGTTCACTAACATATCTTTTCATAAAAGATAAACTATACGAGAGTTATGAAATCCAGATGTACTTTGTTCTTCTGTCCATTTGTTACACATTAAAGGGCTTTCAATTTGGAACAATAAACACTTCCAAGATAAATCATCACTTGGACGCCTTGTTGGTTTATACTATAAAAATAGCAGCCAAAAATTTATATTATGGTGCAACATTAAAACCACAATATGAATAGCTTCTGGCGTGAAGTGAATATGTGACAAGAGGTTGGATAAACATTTATAAAGTCGTAGATAAATAAAAAAAAAAAACTTCCAGTTTCCTCAGCCTTACATGCTGTCCATTTGAGTGCAGCTCCGGCATTATGTGCTGGTTTGCAAACAGAAGCATGTTGCTGTCATTTCTAGAAGTGGTTTATGCAATTGATTTTGCATAGCTTCCAACCAGTGTGTCAGTGTGCTTTTGCACCTGCACACCTGTTGGCTAAGATGATTTGCTTGATCATGGAAGGTTATTTGAAGCAGTCAGCAGAACTAATAATGAAGGAGCGGCAGCGAGAGAAGGCCTCAGATACCTAGAGGGTTCTGGTCCTGCTATGTTTGACCTAATCACATGTAGTCTACCTGTGTGAGCATCACAAAGGAATCAGATTGAGGGCTTTATGACTTTATTTTTGCATAGTGTTGTCCACCTGGATACCTTCTGAGTATTATGGTCTGTCACCAGAGGTCCTGTGCTCCTTCAAGGACCATCTGTTTTTCTTTACCTTTCTGTCTTTTTAGGTGCTGTATATTATGGGATGTATGCTATCAATGTTGGAAAATTATGGTCTGTCCAGGATAGCAGGGAGGGGGGGTGTCACTATGACAACGGGGTTGCTAAGGGGGCTGGGACTTCCAGTGGAAAGGGGAAGAAGTGTGCACGTGCATGGCTATAGTGCATGCATGTCTAGCCCTGAGTGCGTGCGCGCGCGTGCATGTTAGAGGGGGGTGGGGGAAGGCTGAGTATTATGGTCTGTCCGTTGCGAGGTAACTATGCAGAGTCCTGCGTGCGTGTGGGAGGGAGAGGGGGAATATTATGGGATGTCTGCCCCCTTTGTGTGTTTGTGAGGATGTTAGCTAAGCGCTGCCTGCAAGGTAGGGGGAACTAGAAGTGGGGGACTCAGCCGCGTGTTTGGGGTCATTACGAAAAGAAACAGAGATATCGCTCGGGAATTAATGAGTGAGCACTCTAGGACAACATTTAGCGCTGAAGCAGCCTGATTGGTTTTATATCGAGCTCCGAAAGAGGGAGCACACCAAGCACCGGGACTACACGCACACTACAGTAAGTTTCTTAATACGTGAAGGCAGGGATTGAAAGCTTGAACTTTTCTTTCATCATCCCTTCTGACATGTCACCGTGCATTGGTTGTTTGGTTCAAATAAAGATTATTTCGTGTCACCCGTAAGTTAATTCACTCCTCTGTGGGGGTCTACCTGCATAACTTGTTTGATTTGACAGGTGGACAATTTAGTTGTGTAATTATAATTTCAACTGAGCTGGCTCTGAACCAGTGAAATGTGTCATTATTTGTTATGTTTTTTTTTCTTCCAGCACCAAACGTCCCCCCCCCCCAACTCACTCCCCCTCCACCCTCCCTTCCTGGACACCCCCGGTCCGTTCTCCAACCAGTCCCACGTCATTTTCCCTCCTCCCTCGCTGACCGAGGGTTTACGTGGGATTAATTCGCCCTGCAACAAAATAAAAATTAAAAAATAAAATTAACCCACAGAGAGAGGGAAAATGTCGTGTAGCGAAGATGAAAGGGACGACTTTGGAGCAGCGGAGGAGCATTCAATTCTTCACGGTAAGCTTGCTGTTTTCCACCTCTCTCTCTCTCACTCTATCTCTCCCTTTCCCGAAGAAAGGTCCATCTCTGTGTAACTTGAGCTCCACCGCTTTGCTAGCTCCAGCTAGCGGGGAGCAGTCGGCTTGCTCCGGTCACTCGCCATGACAGATTAGTTAGCTAACTTGGAAAGTGTGTCCGGAGTTTGGGGTTATTTATTGAATATATTTTAAAAGACAAATTGCCGACACCTTATTTAATGTTTTGGGTGATTACGTTTTTTAAAATTTTATGAGGAAATCAAAAGTTTGAACCTGTGCTGCTTTGGTATTTATTGGCGTGCATGTGTGCGCGCGTGCACAACCGTTGGCCCAGTGGTGCCAGTTGGAGCCGCGCGCATCAGGGGTCCCCCCCCCTTTGCTGCATTCAGCAAGTTATCTCCTGAAACTACTACTAATAATAACAGTCATAAAATGTAAGCATGTTTCCCTTGTAGATGAAGAAGAGCCGGAGGATGTTGTGTCCGACCTGGACGAGGTACCCAAGTCGAAGAAGAAGAAGAAAGCCAAGAAGAGCAACCGAGAGAGCAGGAGCAGCAAGAGGCAAAGACCCATCCGGGAGGTGAGCTCGCTGTCCTGTCAGTTAGGTTGTTGGATATTTAACCCTTTATTGGGCAAGGTACCATTTTTGATCACTGGCATACCCCTTACAAATGGAGCCCCCCAGGCCCTCAGTGAGGTCTAGAAGCACTAGATCCATTTGATGAATTAGATGAGCCCTTGAATGATATACGAGGGGCGTTCAATAAGTAATGCCCCTGACACACTTCCAGATGTTTGATCCAGCTGAAATTTTGCATGTGAGGTTTTTTAAATCTCTATAGAAGCAAGAAGGTTCTGGGTTTGATTCCCAGCCTGTGGTCTTTCTGCATGGAGTTTGCATGTTCTCCCTGAGCGTGCGTGGGTTCTCTCCGGGTACTCCGGCTTCCACCCACATTCCAAAAACATGACTGTGAGGTTAATTGGCTTCTCTACAGTCCCCTTAGGTGTGAGTGTGTAAATGGTTGTTTGTCTCTGTGTTGCCCTGCGATGGACTGGCGACCTGTCCAGGGTGTACCCTGCCTCTCGGCCATTAACTGCTAGAGATAGGAACCAGCACCCCTCGTGACCACTCGGGATAAGCATGCTAGAAAATGGATGGATTACAGCTCTGAACTATTTGTGGTTTCTGACTTACAGCTTTTTGAACTGAGTAAAGTCTGAAATGGAGCCTGTTGAGTGTCGAGCAGTGATCCGTTTTTTCTATTGGAAAGGACTCACACCACAGAAGATTTTGGATGAAATTAAAGTAACTTATGGTGATGATGCCTGTTATATGTTCTTGCAAAATGTTTTACAAGGTTATATTATGGGACACTATAGGTTACTTTCATTTGATCAAACGTCTCCCGTTGTGTGCATCCTTTCAAATGCGAAAACACAGACCCGACTCAGTTTGAAAACCTGTAAATCAGAAACCAGAAATCAGAGCTGTAATTTGCTATTAAATCTATAGAGATTTAAATAATTTCACATGCAAAATTTCAGGTCGATCAAACATCTGGAAGTGGGTCAGGGGCATTACTTATTGAGCGCCCTTCGTATTACCTACCGTACTGTAAATTAAGTTGAAAAAAGGTAAAAAGCTCATTAAAAAGTTAATAAGCCTAGTTAATAATTATATTTAAGTTTATAAACTAAATAATTCAAGTGTCAGTATCAGCATTAATGCCTCTAAGGCAGGGGTCTTCAACGTTTTCCAGGCCAAGGACCCCCTAACTAATGGTGAGGTGGAGCGGGGACCCCCTATATATATATATATATATATATAATATATATATATAAATAAAAAAAAGTCTAATCAACCAAAACTTTTGCGACCCCCATGCAGTACCTCTGTGGACCCCTAGGGGTCGCGGACCCCTGTTGAAGACCTCCGCTCTAAGGTTACATTGTACCCCAAAAAAAAAAAAATGTTTCTTTCATTCCCAGAGTGTTTTTTAGGAATTTCTTATAGAAGCACTTTTGTTATTTTTCTTAATATATTCGGGCAAGTTGGCGTTTCTTGTTATTATATTGACATACATTTTTGTCATCAAAATATCCTTATTTTTTTAATGTTACAAAGGTAATAAGGGCTTGTCCTGGACTCCAATAATCATAGTATTTCACTGAGTGCCCTATAAAGGGTTGAGTTGATCGTTTACTTTGAAAGTACTTAGTAAAACTTTTTCAAAATGAGTTTCCGTCCAGTGAGTTTCCGTCCATTAAAAAATTAATTTAAAGCTTTGGAGCCACACAGAATAAAGCAGTCTTTAAAACTCGCAACTTGTGTTTTGAAAATGTTTATATACAAACCATTTGCTTGTTAATGAATATTTCAACCCACAGCAACACTCAAAACCAGAACAATTTTTTTTTTTTTTTACAAAAAATACAAAACATGTAAAGCAGTTTCAAACTCTGTCCTGAGGATCCACTGCCCTGCATGCTTTCTGTATTTCCCTCCCTCCATACATCTGACTTATATAAATGGGTGATTAACCGCTCCCTTCAGCCAGTGATGCCTGCTGAGGAGGGAGTGCGATCATTTGATGTCGGTGTGCCGAAGCATAAAGCATGCAGGACAGTGGGTCCTCATGACTGAGTTTGAAAACCTCTGCTTTAATGTATCTTTTTTATTAATTCCCAGCTCCCACATAACATAAATAGATAAAATAAACTTCTTTTTGAATGAAACTTTAATTGAACATGTTAAAATAAATCTTCTAAATAACAAATATGAGAATAGTGTTTACTTTTTTTGCACCTCTTTTCTTTTGACTTTAGTTTATCACTTATTTACTTTAAAAGTCAACTAAAAACAAAACAAGAATTTATTTAAGCTAATTGAACAAGTTGGAGCTTGGCACTAGCTTCTCAGACATGAATTGTGAACAACTTGGAGAATGTGCATCTAATTTTCTTTGTGATTTTGTAAGACTGTGGCAATAAAAATATTTACATTACGATAATCAGAAATAATGTCCAATGTATTTGCCAAAAAAATAAGCAAGTGTTGACTAAGTTCTACACCTGGTGTTGATAGGGAAATTTCCTCAAAGTTTAACAAGCAGTTTTTTTTTTTTTAAATCCATGGCATTAGAAACATTATATGCTTCCATATGTTGAATTATAGTCGTACATTGCAGTTGCAATATGCAATAAAAAATATGCTGCATCTCTAACTGGGAACTTTTTTCACAATGCACAGAAGCGCTGACATTCACTCAGAAACATCATCGTCCGTTGGTATGATTCTAGGTCGTTAACATGCTGTGGCTGGAGACTTAATTTTAAAAAAATTTGTAAAATATAAAAAACATAACCAAGCACAGGAGTGTTTTTATGTTTGACTGTATTTTAGGGCTGCAGCTAACGATTATTTTGCAAATTAATTAATGTGTTGATTATTTTATGATTAATAGATTAATAATCAGATACCCAAAGGTTCCTTAAAGACACTGTTTTGCAAAATAAAACCAAGTGAAAATAAAGCTTTTGCACTTGAGGAGTGCTAGATACAGTATATTTGCAGACGAAAAAGATTTTTATCTTAAATGCAAAATGTTTACACATTTTTTTTTTTTTTACAATTTTGCTATAATTGCTGCTCAAGGTGGGTTGCTCTGTAAGCTAAATACACATTTAATAATTTCTACCCTCCAGTAAACGATCAGTCGATTACTAAATTAGTTGCCAATTATTTCAATAGTCGAGTAATCATGATTAATCCGAATCATTTTTTTTTCAGCCCTAGTACATTTCATATATTTCATATCCCACTTGGGATATGACTACAGAAATGGCAGGGGCAGTTTAATGATTATTAAACATCTGTTTATAAAATCAGCTGCACAGTGCTACAGGATTCTAGCATTCTGATTTTCTTTTTTAAATCGTTGGTTTCAGTATATTGCTACGTAATTTATGGTATGGGGGAGTCATACTTGGATTCCTACTTGGAATAGCAGAGAATTAATTGAACTTCTATCAATCAAGCCAAAAGAGTATTGCAACTTTTACATTAGTGAAATGACGAAAAAAATAAATAAATAACCCTATTACTTCTAAAACCTTGTTAGGAGTCTTGCCCTCCTGTAACTAGTAGAGTGGGTTTTTATTTTGTAGGAACTGCCGGTCAGCTCCCCAGAGCATCTGATGGGACTGGAGGCGGCAGAGAGGGATGCTGATGAGGGAGGGATGCGGTCAGAGAGTGAAGGCAGTGATTATGCCCCTGGGAGAAAAAAGAAGAAACGCTCAAGCTCTGCAAAAGACAAAAAGAAAGGAGGCGGGACAGGAGAGAAGGGAGGTTCTAAGAGCAAACGTAAAGATCCTGAACCCGAAGATGACGATGACGACGATGATGATTGCCAGGTAAAGTTTTATTATAACTTCCGTTGAAGGAGTGTAAGGTGGTCCTGGTGGACATTTCATCTGACCTGATTTTTTTTATTTCTACTCCTACCACAGCCTAAAAGCTCCGGCCAGCTGCTGGAGGCCTGGGGAATGAAAGACATTGATCATGTCTTCACTCAGGAAGACTACAGCTCCCTAACTAACTACAAGGCCTTCAGCCAGTTTGTAAGGTGAGGAAATAAAAATAAACATTTAATTTATTTGATGTTCCAGATGATAAATGCTTCATTCCTTGAAAAATGACTGTAAAATGTGTTTTTTTAGGCCTTTAATTGCCGCTAAAAATCCTAAAATCCCTGTATCGAAGATGATGACCTTAATGATGGCTAAGTGGAGAGAATTCAGCACAAACAACCCACTAAAGGTATTTCGGCTATTAGTAACGCTAATCAGCTATTAGTGTATATATATATATATATATATATATATATATATATATATATATATATATATATTAGGGATGGAACGGTTTATGAAAACCGTCCGAACGGTTCGGTTCGCGTGTGATTCGTTCGGTTCATGTTCTGCTCCATTTTCTCATAGGCGAAGCGTTTACACCCCAGAGCAGAAGGTGGCGGTACTGCGACCAAAGCCAACCACCAGTAGTAAACAAGAAGAAGAAGAAGTGAAGCAGCTTAGCCAGGTGTAGCAGAAAAAAATCAGTTGTTGTGGAGAATTGTGTGGGTATGGCGAGTGGGAAAGAACATGAGTTGGAAGACGCGCCAGCAGCACTTTATAGGTCTGCTGTATGGGACCGCTTTGCATTTAGAGTGACCTACGATGACGGCGGAAAGAAAGTTGTGGATAAAAGTGCAACAGTGTGCAAGCATTGTGCAACACGTTTTGTTTATGCTAACAGCAACATGACCAACATTTCATGCTAACCCCGAAATCCCACATACTCCATCAGCGCTCTGCTCCGCCCCGCTGCGCTCCAGACCGCCTGCACAAAGCAAAGCCTGCAGCCTCTACTGTGGCTCCCGTCCGCTCCACTCTGAGTCCCTTGGAGATCGTAGGGGGCATGCGCGAGATGATTAAATTCAAAGCAGCAAAACATGCGGAAATGATCCATGGTTTCAGCAAATCATTAAAAATAATTACAATTCATTAATTTTTTTGGATTTTTTTCGTAAATTTCATTAAAAAATATTTTCGTTAATTTTTATAATTTTTGTTAATTTTTTAATTTTTCGGTGTAACAATAAACATATACCGAAGCGAACCGAAAACCGTGACCACGAAACCGTGAACTGAACCGAACTGTGGATTTTGTGAACCGTTCCACCCATAATATATAAATATATATATATATATATATATATATATATATATATATATATATTGGTTGTTTTTTTAGTTCAAGTTTCTTTCAAAAAAATTCTCACACTTTGTTGTTCCTCCCTTAGGGTTGTGCCACAGCTAATGCAGCCCTGGCAGCTGCCAGTGTGGCTGCAGTAGTGGAAAACATGGTGGTTTCTGGAACTGACGGTAATGCTGAGGCTGCCCCTGCTGCCTCCCCTGCAACTGCTCCTCCTGCTCCTGTCGTTGTTGCTGCTCCAACACCTGCACCACCCCCAGCTCCAGCTCCTCCTCTTCGCAAAGCTAAGACCAAAGAGGGAAAAGGTGAGGCAGATATGCAAAGATAGATACATGTTTCAAAATCTAAAACAAGGAACAGTGTTTTTGAAATCCGTTCTTTAAAAAAAAAAAAAAAAATTTATTTTGCTTTTTTCATTTTAGGTCCAAATGCTCGTAAAAGGTCAAAACCTACACCCAAACCTCCTCCTAAGCCAAAACCCAAAAAGGTGGCTCCACTGAAAATCAAACTAGGCGGCCTCAACAGCAAGAGAAAGCGCTCCTCTGTAAGTCAATTATTTCTATATTCTGTTAAAGGATGTAAAAAATGGGAACCCCCATCTGTTGTCACAGGTCACCCGACCATCAGAAAGATATTAACAAACACACAGCAATTTGGAATAGGCAGGCAATTTAATTTAATTTAATCATTTCAACCATTCCAGATAGTATGAAAAAAAAAGAAAATTAAGCATTAAAAACGTGTCGATTTTCAAATTATATTCATCATTCTTCTATCTAAAGTGTACAATCTGATTTCAGTGAAAGGAAAAATAATCAAGACTTTTTTCATGAGTTTGTATTTAAATGATTTTCTCTTCTGTTTTTTGCTATAGAAAATTAATATTTGCTTAACTTTATTGTGTAAAGAAGTCTACCTGGGATTTTGTGCTTCTGTCTGTCTTGCTGTGAAGCTGATCTTGTGTATAGGCTCACTCGTGTCTACAGTGCGCTTCTTTCGGTAACGAAGGAAAACTAGAGACGACAGTCTAGTTTTGCCAATTTAGCATTAGAATCTATATTTGGGGACTTTTTCAGACTCTTCTAGCAACTTTGTTTAAAAAATAAAAAATGTAAAAAGCGATTGGAACAAAAACACTAGTGACGTTACTCTGTGTTGAACGAGTTCAGCGTTTTTACGTGAAAACGGCAATCTTTCCTCAATTATGAGCTGCCGTGAGTTTCTCCCTGCTTCACTAAGCGCCATCTTACAGGCACAGGAAGCTATAGCTGCCTCGTTCTGAAAGCCCTGCAAAATCCCTGCTCCATTTTTCCATAGCTAATATATAACACATTCGAAAACCTGTCAGTGATTATGTCATAGATTACAAAGCAGAATACAGATATAATGTAAATATAGCTTTTAATCTAGTCTTTTTTTTCTTTCTCTGAAACTGTTGCACTGATATAATAACCTGATTGAATCACTTGTTTACCTTGTATTACATGTGTCTAATTTGTTAAAATTAGACACATGTAATACATCTAATTTGTTAAAATTAGACATATGCAGTCTGGATTCAGTCAATGTTTAAACATATATTTGATCATAAAGTATGGTTAATGCGTGTTGTATTTTAGCGATACCTCAAAGACAGTAGTGTAATCAATTATTGTTTTTTTTTTTTTTTCAGATACGCATGATGAAAACCCTATCTTTTTCTAATAAATGTAATATAACCAAAATTGAGTGTCTCTACGATTTGAAAACTATTTTGTGAAATTGTGATTATACACAAATGCAGTTATTGCCTTGCCCTAATCCAATCAAATTCTTACAAACTTTATTAGTTTGAAATCCAGCTGAGCTACAGGTAAATTCAAAATTGGTTACAGTCTCATATAGAGTCAGATGAACACTTAGTGACTTTAATTGAATTTGATAGAGAAACTGTGTAGGGAATGTAATAATTCAATGATTTGTTTTGAACTATATGAATGTTTGACCCAAATCTGAAGCATGTGGTGCTATTTAAAAACAAACAAACAAACAAACAAAAATCAATTTTATAAGGAGCTGTCTTCTTTTATGTTCTTATCAGAGCGATGAAGATGAGCTCGATGGCGACAGCGACTTCGAGGATGGAAGTTTCTCTGTGTCCGATGGCTCTAGCCGCAGCAGCCGTCTTAAGAAGAAGTCAAAAAATGCAAAAAAGAAGAAGAAAGGTTTGAAACAAACACAACCCTTGGTTCTAAATACAATATTTACTGAATCACTAAGTAGCATACTGTTTTCATTTACATGATTGTTCCTTGTGCTCTGTTTCTGTGATTGCCCTTTTTCAGTGGAGACGGAGGATGGAGATGGTTATGAAACTGACCACCAGGACTACTGTGAGGTGTGCCAGCAGGGAGGAGAGATCATTTTGTGTGACACCTGTCCCAGAGCTTATCACATGGTGTGTCTGGATCCTGACATGGAGAAGGCTCCTGAGGGCAAGTGGAGTTGTCCACACTGTGTGAGTATGAATCATTGGATCTATACAGAGAGGACATTGGAGTATTAACATCCTGGTTCTTAATATTGTACAGTAAATTAATGATTTTCTAAAAAAAAAAAAAAAAGATATGTACTTTTAACTTTGGCTTTAAGATTATATTTTCTCGGTTTATTTCTAATAAACATTTATTTTCTGTGTTGTTTTTTTTTTATGTCACTTCTATACATCTCACCCTCCATCTTCTATTCCTCACTCCCTCTCCCTCCATCTGACTCCACATGCACATGTATTCAATGCACGCCCCACACCCTCCACCGCTTTCACTCCTGAACCCCCCCACCCCTCCCTTTTTTTCCTTTCATTCCGTTCCGCATACCTTCCCTGCATGTGTGAACCCACCCAACTCTCCTCTTCCTCTACCACACACACAACCACACACACACACACACACGCTCAAACCACCTCCTCCTCGTGTCTCTGCTTCCAACACCAAGGAGAAGGAGGGGATCCAGTGGGAGGCAAGAGATGATCTGTCTGAGGCTGAAGGGGAGGATGATGACGATAGGAGAGACGATGGCATGGAGGAGGAAGATGACCACCACATTGAGTTCTGCAGAGTGTGTAAGGATGGTGGAGAGCTGCTCTGCTGTGACACCTGCCCCTCCTCCTACCACCTCCACTGCCTGAACCCTCCTCTCCCTGAGATTCCCAACGGAGAATGGATCTGCCCCCGCTGCAAGGTGAGCACCGCCTCTATCTGCGCATGCTCTCATGGCTCTAAATCTGGATTGCAAAAATAGTTTTGCACTGCAGATAACCAGATGATTTTCCTTATCAGGGAAACAATACATAGTGTTGCCAAGAATACACTTCGTTACTCTGAGAGAGATTATAGTATAATACCAATTTCTATGCAAACATTTGAAACTACTCCTTATTACTTTTTTTGTGTTTTACTTTAATTGAGCTGAAAATGTTGTGAGATCTTTCTCTGTGGTCAGCCTTTATCTATTTTTTTGGGGGGGTTATGGCACTAGTGGCTAATTTCTTGGACAGTAGGCTGACAGGAAAGGGGATGTGAGAGAGGTGGAGAGACATGCGGCAAAGGACCACGGGTGGGATTCGAACCCGGGTCGGCCTCGTCAAGGACTAAGGCCTCTGTACATGGGTTGTGTGCGCTAACCACTGCCCCATCAAAGCATGCCCCTTTATCAGTGTTTTTGGGCTTCTGGAATTTTGCTTTGGCAAATATTTCAAAGCAACTATATCACTAAGCAATTTTCTTAGTCCAACAGATGAAATCGCTGAAGGCATTGGTGACGTAGCTCCGTTAGTAGAGAAGACTTTTTATATTAGGGATTATGGATTGAATAATTAGCAGATTAAGCATAAGATAAAATAAAAATACCTGCATATTTTTATATTGTTTCAATTTTGTAACTGCTATTTAAATTAAGATAATATAAAGTTTAAGTTGTCAGAATGCCATGTGGCAGTGTGCCTTTCATTTGCAGTGACTACCAGCAGCTAAAAAATTTATATTTATTTGTTTGGTTGATATTAAGATTGTGTTGTTGTTATGTATGTCATGGTTATCTGTTATTATTCCTTTGGAAATCTTTTTTTTTTTAAAGACTTTTCTGGATTACTTTGATTAAAAACCTTTGATGTTTTGAAATGGGTGCATGATTAAATAAGAAAAAATCGCCAGTCAACTCTAAACAACTTTTTTCTTGAATAGTAAGTTATCAGGAAGAAAATGAACTGCAAGATAAAAGTTTCAAAATGTATGTTTTTAGACATTTCTTTTTTTTTTTTTTTTTTTAGATCGATAGAAAGTCTGTTAGGTTATATGCTTTTACATTTTATTGGCCTCCTAACTGACAACATGACTTCCATTGCCATGTTCCACCAGTGTCCTCCAATGAAAGGAAAGGTGCAGAAGGTTTTAACCTGGCGGTGGGGGGAACCTCCACCCTCCATGCCTGTCCCCCGGCCTGCTGACCTGCCTGCTGATGCTCCTGATCCCCCTCCTCTGGCTGGCCGGCGGGAGAGGGAGTTCTTTGTCAAATGGTGCAATATGTCCTACTGGCACTGCTCCTGGGTGCTGGAACTGCAGGTATGGAGCTGCTTGTAAATTGTGCAAATGAATTTGGCGATTTGGACAAATTCTTCTATAATGTGGGGATGCTGACTCCACTTCTTCCTTAATTAATAACTGTAGCTAAAGCTGTTCCATTTCTTCCATGCAGCTGGAGCTGAACTGCCAGGTGATGTTCCGTAACTATCAGAGGAAGACTGATATGGATGAACCTCCACCTGTGGACTTTGGAGGAGAAGGTGATGATGACAAGAGCAGCAAGAGGAAAAACAAAGATCCTCTGTTTGTCCACATGGAGGAAGATTTTGGCCGTTTTGGGGTTAAGCTGGAGTGGCTGATGATTCACCGCATTCTTAACCACAGGTAGGGTTCACACAGACCTGAAAGATAAGATAACAAAAACAAAATTGATAAGGAGGGAATGGAATTAGGATATTTAGTTCTATTTTGTTTTATCATTAACAGTTGTATAGATTCGATTGTTGCAAAAAATTGTTTATTTTTTAATCACTTATAATCAAAAACTTAAGGTGGTCAGAAAAAAGGTAGAAATTTATTTTCCTTCATAGAAACTTGTTTTTTGTAGTAAGAAGATGTTGAACATTTAAAGCACAGATTAGATATTATATCAGTGTGATCACTAAAAAAATGTAACTCGCATGTTTCCTGTGTTTTTTTATCTTAGTGTTGATAAGAAGAACAACGTTCATTACTTGATCAAATGGAGAGATCTCCCTTATGACCAGTCAACCTGGGAAAGTGAAGATCTGGATATTCCAGAGTACGATACGTACAAACAGATATACTGGAATCACAGGTATGGAGGGTTTCACCTAACTAAGGCCCCGTCCACACGAAGTCAAAACGAACACGAAACGCTGATATTTTCCAAAACGTTTGCCGTAAGGACGGAGACGTAAAATAAATGTGAGCGTCCACACGAATGCATGAAAACGCTGCAAAATGTATGCCAGGCCTGTAAGTGGCGCTGTGGTGCCAAAGCAAAAATAAGCGACAAAATGTTGGGCATGCGCACTAATATTTATACATGGTTGCCCTGCGGGTCCATTTTCGTGGTTAAGTCAAATTCAGGCGCTGAACTATGTCGTCGATATTGCTCTGTTCTTCCTGGAGATATTCCAGAAGAAGAAGATTCTGTTGTAAGCCCGACAGCAGGGTGAGTAGCATTAGCAGCAACGGCGCCATTGTTGTTGTGATACTGGTCGCGCATGCGTGTTTAGAGGCGACGCTATGACGCATGCGTGTAAAAAAAAAAATGCGGTTAGAGCGTAAAGATGGAAACGCGAAAACGGCGTTTCGAAATCTTCCCACTCTGAAGGCTGAATAAAAAAAAGATCGTTTACAGACCCCCGAAACGCCGGCTTCGTGTGGATGAGAGGCTGGTTTGGTGAAAAATTTGTGCGTTTAGGCCAGGGAACGTCTTCGTGTGGACGGGGCCTAAATGGTAATGGCCTGTACTTATATAGCACTTTTCCAAGTCAGCAGACTTGCCCAAATAGCTCTACACTACATTCAGTCATTCACCCGTTCACGCACACACTCATACACTGATGGTTGAAATTAGGAAAATATTTAAAGCTTAACAGTGGAAAGTAAATGTTTGGAGGTTATTCTTAATTAAATTGTTTATGTTCCTGGCCTACATAGAGAGCTGATGATGGGTGAGGAGGGAAGACCTGGTAAGAAGCTCAAGAAAACGGTCAAAGTGAAAAAGGCAGAACGGCCTCCTGCTAATCCAGTTGTAGATGTAAGTGTTCTTCATCTAACTCTCATTAAACTATTTATATATATATATATATATATATATATATATATATATATATATATATATATATATATATATATATATATATATATATATATATATATATATATATATATATTTATTTATTTTTTACAGGCTCATTAAAAATGGCTCATTAATTATTCTCTCTCCACCAGCCCACCATCAAGTTTGATCGGCAGCCTGACTATCTGGACAGTACAGGAGGCACGCTGCATCCCTACCAGCTGGAGGGGTTGAACTGGCTCAGGTTCTCATGGGCTCAGGCCACCGACACCATCCTGGCAGATGAGATGGGTCTAGGCAAAACGGTTCAAACAGCTGTATTCCTTTACTCTTTGTATAAGGAGGTGAGAAACCAGAGTCACAATTCTTATTTATTGATAAGTAGGGTTTTACACGATTAAATTGGAATTGTATTTTTTGCATCAAGAGCACTACATAAAAACCCATTAAATTTGAAGCACTTTTGTCATTCATGGTGGTTGTGGGGTCTTAGACATGCGACAAACAATAACTTTGCCAAACAAAGGGGATGAGTTCTAAGCTATGAACTCTATTCTAAAGGCAGGGCAAGACATGAAATCATATTGAATTTGAAACGAGTCTAATTCCATTTTATGTTTTCACAGGGTCACTCCAAAGGTCCCTTCCTGGTCAGCGCTCCTCTGTCCACCATCATAAACTGGGAGAGAGAGTTTGAGATGTGGGCGCCTGATATGTACGTGGTTACTTATGTGGGAGACAAAGACAGCAGGGCTGTTATCAGAGAGAATGAGTTCTCATTTGAGGGAAATGCAATCAGGGGAGGGAAGAAGGCTTCAAAGATGAAGGTAGGGATGTATTAAAAGTGGATAGTTCAGGTCTTGGTGTTTCCATTTCCTACTTTAATGATATAACTGAATCCCCCTCCTCTGTTTTTGTATTTTACAGAAAGATTCAACAGTGAAGTTCCACGTTCTGCTGACATCGTATGAGCTGATTACCATTGATCAGGCTGTGCTGGGCTCCATTGAATGGGCCTGCCTGGTTGTTGATGAGGCTCACAGACTCAAAAACAACCAGTCCAAGGTAATAAAAACAACCTTTAATGATCGGTGGCTGACAGTTTTCTAGTCCTCTTACCAGTTGATAATACTCTGCTGGTGTATTTTTATTTTTTTATATTTCCAGAATAAGACAACAACTACTTTCAGATGAGTCATTATGACATGCTTGCTAGATTATTGCAATACTCTTTTGTTTGTTGCCATGTCAAAACACATTTGTAAGGCTATTGAGCTGAAGCACAGAGATAACAGACTTTTTAACTTTTCAACACTGGCTGCATCTTAACATCAAGATATAATTGACAATTTTTGTCCAATCCTTTAAAAACAATAAATAAATTGTTGTATTTGATGTGCTCTCCAGATTATATAGGTCCTTGGGTTGCACATTTTTATTATTCCAATACTTTCCTTGTCACCCTCGGTATAAGGCCGTCAAGATGAAAGAAGCAGACATGCAAAGGGGATATAGAAGGACTGTTCCAGAAATACTTTCTAGAAAAGGTAACGGTAAACTAGCTTGATAGATGATGCTGTCTAGAAAAGAAACAGTTAAGCAGATGAGCTTTGAGGCAGTTTTCAAAGAATGGAACAGAGCACATAGTCACTAAAAAAGCTGAGGCCACAGCTATGTCTAGGAGAGAAATGGGACTAAGCACTGAAAAACAGGCCCAATTTACATCTATAATGGAAGTTGAGAGCAGCAGCCCAGCTGGTGCTTCCCTCCAGGATCGTGTCAAGATAAATGGTGTCATGGCAGATTAAGCTAATATAACAAAAACAAGCAGAGCGCACGTAAAGTTAGGGATTGAACTAACAAATAATGCAAAATTACAGAATAAATGTAAAATAATGCACGATGATAAAAACTGATCCCTATGTCTCCCAGCAGTCTAAACCTATTAAGAGCATAACTTTAGGGTTAGTTCAGGACAACCTGGGACACTCTATGAGCTTTATCAAAGAAGTAAAGTTTTCAGGCCTTCTGAAAATAGATTTGTTTCTGCCTCATGAACCAAAACTGGTAGTTGGTTCCACAGGAGAACAGCCAGATATCTAAAAGATCTGCCTCAAATTCTACTTTTCAGAAATTTCAGAAAACCACTAGTTAACCACACTACCTGTTTACTAGTGTTTTTACTTGTAAACCTGCATATTAAGAGTGAAGTGCAATGTTAGCAACTTCCATTACTATGATTGCCTTTAAAATGGATTTCATTCAGACTTTTGCAAAAAATTATTATCAATATTTAGGTAAAGTTATTTTTTATTTTTTTTTACTCATTGCAAATACTTGATGCTAATGTTTTGTTTTATGAATTTCCTTTAATGTTTTATTATTTAAGAAATACTTAAAAAACAGCTTAATTACTTTGTTGTGGCTACACAGTCACAAATTAATGCTGTTTCTTAAACAATCAGGCCAAAGTCTGCTCATTAGCCTCTTTTGACATTTTTTTTTTAATCTTTATGTTTTGGTAGTTTTGGTATTTGTTTCTCTTTTTAATCCCGTGTTACTTAGATCTGTCTGAAAGGTGTGATACATAGATTGATCCTAAAGTTTTTATGCTGCATTTTTTCCTACACTACTTTTATTCATAAGTACAATGGCTAAGAGTTATTGTTTTTTTCATACTGTGTTTTAGTTCTTCAGAGTATTAAACAACTACTCGCTGCAACACAAGCTCCTGCTGACTGGGACTCCTCTTCAGAACAACCTGGAGGAGCTTTTCCACTTGTTGAACTTCTTAACACCAGAGAGATTTAAGTCAGTAACTTGGCGGCTATGATTAGTGTGGCTGTTTTTCTTAGCTCACTAAAAAAGAAAAATAAATAAAAAGGCACCTGCAACGTGTTAATGCTCGATTTATTTTCTTCAGCAACCTTGAAGGGTTTCTGGAGGAATTTGCAGACATTGCCAAAGAGGACCAGATCAAGAAGCTCCACGACATGCTGGGACCACACATGCTCAGGAGGTTGAAGGCTGATGTGTTTAAACACATGCCTTCAAAGACTGAGCTCATTGTCCGAGTGGAGCTGAGCCCCATGCAGAAGTAAGTAATACACTTCAATATACATGCCTATAAAAGTTTACCGGGAACAGGGTTGGTTATAGATTTTTTTTTTTGTGTGTGTGTGTTTTTTTAACTCGTATCTATTTTTTGCTGCCCCTGCACTCTTTTCAAAAAATGTATTTTGCCTTTGCTCTTAATTTTCTCATTTATGTTTTTGTTAATGTAGGAAGTACTACAAGTTCATTCTGACACGCAACTTTGAGGCGTTGAACACTCGAGGAGGTGGAAACCAAGTGTCTCTGCTCAACGTTGTCATGGACCTTAAAAAGTGCTGCAATCACCCCTACCTCTTTCCAGGAGCTGCAACAGTACGTTTATTGTTTTTTCTTCTTGTTTTTTTTTTTCTTGTCACATATTTCAAACATTATCCAGTCATTGAAACATGCAGTTCTGGTCAGAATGTTACACGTACTCATTGTGAAGTTTTTAACAGTACATTAAAAGCTTGTTTCTCCAAGCTTGAAAGATTATACGACATAACTTTAGTCAGTTTTTAAAACTGTATAGACCAAATATTTTTCTTGATTTCACAGAAGTTTAGATTTTTATACCCTGATAGACTCAAGTCTCCTCTCATTTGAACCTTAATCCTATTGTTATTGCAGCCACAAACAACTTCACATATATTGGCCTGATATTTAACCTCTTTTTTGCTGAAATGGTAGAAATAATTTGGTTCAGGTTGTTTTTATGGCACTGTAGAGGCTTTCATCAGAGATTTCCACAGATGTTAAAGCTGGGGTTTGTAAAGGTCATTTAAGGAGCTCAATATTAGTCTGCTTTTAGAGGTGATATATGATCAAATTAAAAGGTCAAGAAATCTGTGGGAGTAAGTATGTCTGTTGAAAATTAAATTGGTATAAAGCCATCAATGATAAATATGATTTTTTTTTAAACTCATTGGTTTTGACAGCAGAGATATTTTACCCACAATGAATTTAATTTGAATGCTGCTTTTTTTGTCGGACTCATCACCACATAGATAAAGCCTTTTTTTAAATAGGTGTTTGTTTTTTGCTATGTTAATGGAAGAAAAGTCGACTGCTTCTAGCTGCCTTGCAGATAATACTAATATAACATCTAGCCGGATCTTTGGGATCTTTAAAATGAATATGGTATAATTAGTTAGTTTCCCATTTTTCTTTTACTTTAAAGGACTGACATTGACTTTCATAGCAGTATGAAAGTCCCATGTCACACTGTGTGAAAGGACTGAATACTAGATTAGTTTGCCAGATAATCGACAGATGAATTGAGATAGAACTTCCTGCAACTCTGCAATAAGAGCCTTAGGTATTTATATTGTTTCATTTAGCTTAAAAAAACATTTTCAGGGAAAATTAAATAGCTTACCTCTTAAGCTTTGTATTCACTTTGCGTAAAACATGACTCTGAAGCTGGGTACATTGTAAAATAGGTCTGCAGAGTCATTTATCCCTGAAATTGATTGATATGGGCTGTCATCAACTGTCTTCATGCATATGGTTTGAGTACTACTATTAGATACCAATTGTTACAAGGTGGTTTTTATTATTTCTGATGTTCACCTCAGTGAATAACATCTATTGATATATATTGTGCGTATTTTTCATACATTTTAATGAATATTTTCAGTCAATAACAGTGATCAGTTAAATTCCCGTACTCGCATTAAGTGATAAACATTTTTCTTGATACATGCCTGTCTGCTTCCCAAATTAGTTTTTTGTTTTGCTTGTTCAGCACTCTTTTTGTATAACTTTCAATTATCTGGAACACATTTTCAGCACCAAATGAAAGGAAACGGATAGGATTATGATAAAACAACATGGAATCAGGATTAAGCTTATTATAAATTGTAAGATGCTGCAACATGAGTGACACCAGGGTCCCAAGTAATTCTACTTTTATTTGAGCATACTTTCAGGGTTCAGACCCGTCAAAAACCCCAGCTCCGAAACAAAAACCTCAAAGCTTGAATATAATTTACACATACATTGTTTTTTTTCCCAGGAAGCTCCCAAACTTCCAAACGGCATGTATGAAGGCACTGCCCTGACCAAAGCTTCAGGGAAACTGATGCTTCTTCACAAGATGATGAAGAAGCTGAAAGAGGGAGGCCACAGGGTTCTGATTTTCTCCCAAATGACCAAGATGCTTGACCTGCTGGAGGACTTCCTGGAGAATGAAGGATATAAATATGAGAGAATTGATGGTGGAGTCACAGGCAACATGAGACAGGAGGCTATTGATCGTTTTAATGGTGAGATGTGTATATTTGCATATATTTCTTGGCCCCTCTTGGAAGTTGATATTTGGTTTTCTAATTTGAAGTCTGCTCTCTAATATAACAGCTCCAGGAGCTCAGCAGTTTGCCTTCCTCCTTTCAACCCGAGCTGGTGGTTTGGGTATTAATCTTGCATCTGCTGACACAGTCATCATCTACGACTCAGACTGGAACCCCCACAATGACATACAGGTACGAAAGCTGCAGTTCTAACCCTAAATGTGCTTGTATGCTTTTTCTTTGGATGGTGGTTAACTGTCGAATGTAATTTTGTAGGCTTTCAGCAGAGCTCACCGTATTGGCCAAAACAGGAAAGTGATGATCTATCGTTTTGTTACCAAAGCATCTGTAGAGGAGAGGATCACACAGGTTTGTGAAAAACAAATGCTAATGATCTTCGTCAGTTTTTAACTTACAGACCGGTTTTCTGATTATCTTCTCACAGTCCACCTACCTTCTTTTTGTTGTCAGGTAGCAAAGAAGAAGATGATGCTCACACACCTGGTGGTGCGGCCCGGGCTTGGTTCTAAGACGGGTTCCATGTCAAAGCAGGAACTAGATGATATTCTCAAGTTTGGAACTGAAGAGCTGTTCAAGGATGAAGTTGGAGATGGTGAGAAAATAAGAAAAAAAAAAAAGGTTAAAATAAATAAATAAATATATATATATATATATATATATATATATATATATATATTACATTTATAACCTTAACTTTACTCCAGCTACAAAGATTCCAACAGACCACTTATTTAAAGCTTAATCTTAAGTGATATTTTAATTGCACTTCTTGCTCTTTTCTGTTTCTCTTCCACATTTATCACGTGAGGTGGAACAGAGAAATCAGCAGTTTCAAATAAGGCTTGGAGGATAAACTGTATTCTGTCTCTTTTTTTTCCCTGCTTGTCTTCAGGAGACAACAAAGAGGATGACAGCAGCGTGATCCACTATGACGATCAGGCAATTGAGCGTTTGTTGGACAGGAACCAGGATGCCACAGAGGACACTGAGCTTCAGAGCATGAACGAATATCTCAGCTCTTTTAAAGTGGCCCAGTATGTGGTAAAAGATGAAGATGACGAGGTAAAGTATTTTATCTTCTCGACAGTCATAGTATGTCTATTATTGCGGTATTTTTAAAGGTTGTTGATTTAAACCTGAATAAAAAGGTTAAGCATCTTAAGAACAAGTTCTATGTTTATTCTTTGTGAGCCACATATCTCTTCTTTCTTTGAGGAGGAGGAGGTAGAAAGGGAAGTGATCAAGCAGGAGGAAAGCGTTGATCCCGACTACTGGGAGAAACTGCTTCGACACCACTATGAACAGCAACAGGAAGATCTAGCCCGCAATTTGGGCAAAGGCAAACGTACTCGAAAGCCGGTCAACTACAATGACGGCTCCCAAGAGGACCGAGGTATAAGACAGGGTACAGAACAATATATAATGCAACCTCTTCTTTGTGTTTGTGTTGTTTTGTCTGTGTGGTGATGTTGAAGCATGTTATTAGAGCTAAGGAAATCTTTGCATGGTGTTTTTATAAAGCCTAGGATGATTTACTATAAATTGTTTAGCTTTTTTAAATTAATATTACAAACTCCTGAATTAGTATGTTTCTGTACGTCAATAAGACCTAGATTTAATGACTGTTGGTTGTTAAGAAAAGCTAATTTAATTTTAAGAAAAAAAACTTTGCTTGTATTAATCTCTTTGCTTATTTGTGTTTACTCTTAGCTTTTGAGCATGTGTAATGCCAAAACTTTAGAAAACCTTTAAATTAATATCCCTGACCTTACTTATGGTGGTTTTTAACGTCTTTAAAAATATCTGATTCATTTACACAAAACTTAAAGGAAACGTGACCTTATTATTTTGATTGATTGCAAAACTTATCAGGTGGAGAGACATTGGGTTATAAGATATTGAGTTTTAGGGGGTTAATTGGATTTAGAGTCACAGGGCTATACAGCCACCTTCAGGTGATGTGAGGCAGCCTTGCCATAAAATCTTACACCTTTTTCTTATTCTAGTTAAATGTATATATCCCCATTAAAGTTTTTTTTTTAGTTTTTCATCAGGAACTTGAATCTAAATTCGATAATTCAGGTTTTGCAGGTCAGCATCAATATCCACAGTGTCAGTACAGTTAGGAATCCTACAATGATGATCTGTCAGTATAATCAGCCTGTGTAGTATTTATTTTTAAACATATCTGTACCACGATACAATCTTCACGAAAGTCGTTTAGTCCTGCTGAAATTGTCGTCATTTGGAGCTGTCATGTGCTTGACTAACTTTAAACTTTTAACCCAATCCTTTGCTACTTTTTATAATGGATATTGTCATGCATTTCACTGCCGTTAAGGGTGGTTATGCTGAGAAAACAAGAAACGTGGTTCTTGTATGTCAGGGGTGCTCAAGTCCAGTCCTCAGGAGCTGCGATCCTGTTACTGTTAGATGCATCTCTTCTCTAACACACATGAATCCCAAGGCTCAATCCCCTCATTTAGCCTAGCAGAGGCATGGCGATGAGCCACTCATTTGACTCAGATGTGTTAAAAATGAGGTGCATGAAAAATTTGTAGGATAGTAGCTCTTGAGGACTGGACTCGATCACCCCTGTTTTATTTGATAGGCCTTTCTCTTTCTTTGAATGTCCGAAAACTTAATGATTAGTGTTTCAACTGCTCTCTGTAAAGCTTTTCCCCACAGTCTGGGGACTGAGTGATAAAGACACAATGAGCTGCAACAGAGATTATAGTCTTGTTTTAATTCTGATTTTGATCATGGAGGTCAAACAACATAACATAAAACCAGGTTATTTACATTTTGTGTTTTTTAAAAGTTTGTACATGAAACTCGATGTTTCATGGCTTGCTTCTTTAAACCAAAATCCCAAATTAATACAATCCTGAAAATATATAACTTCTTAAGTAAAAATGAATAGACCGTTTAGTCATGCTAACAAACTTACAATTTCATTTTCTTTTCTTTCATTATTGTTTGAGTTATTTATTTATTGTTGCAAATACAGAAAAGCAAGCCTATAGCTAGATGTTTGTGATAGTTTCATAGTTTTATTAGCTTGACATCAGTTGTTGAAACATTTTGTTCTTCTTCTTGCCTTGTTCATAATCATTTTCCCATGTTCTGTATAGACTGGCAGGAGGATCAGTCTGATAACCAGTCTGATTACTCGGTGGCGTCAGAGGAGGGAGATGAGGACTTTGATGAGCGCTCTGAAGGTATGGTTCAGTCTCTGATGTCTACTGAGGTAAACAGGTGGGTTGTATGTGTGCTTTTGTGCTTCCATGAACCATCTTAGGCATCCTCCACAAGGAACGCACTTTCTCTGTGTTGTAGGGTTTTCATTTTAATGATGAATTAAGTGTAAAAAAAAATGACCTTCCAGTTGTAGAGTTGTAAGGAACAACTTAAGAATCGTTATGTCCTTCACTAACAACTTCCCAACCCCCCCTCCCCGCAGATACTTATACAAGTTCAGACGACACCTATGATGTTCACCTGGACAATCTCAACAACTCGCGAAACAACCCTTGTCCTTGCATCATCTGCGTAGTGAGAAAGGAAAAGACAAAAAAAGGAAGGGAAATGTGTATTAAAAAAACAGGATCGAAAGTTTAAAAGGAATTGTTTCTCATCTTGCCTTGATGTCATCTGTAAAAAAAAGTTTGATTATATTGTTGCACTAAATTTATTTGGCATTTATTAGTGCGAGAAGATGTTCATGTTTGTACTGAATGTAATTTTGTTTCAATTATGGCCATGCCAGTTTTGTTAAATAAAAAAATGATCTGAAGCTGTGATCGGTTGTAAATGCCATGAGAGTATTATCCATCCTAAGTGATAGGAGCCGTTACTGTGAAAGTTGAGAGATTGTGAAAAGGGACAGCCTAATCAGGATCAGCATGAGCCGTAAGTGTAGCATCTTCACAGAGACATTTAAGGGTGATTAGAGTACACATATTCATATTTAACTCTCATTTTCATCACTTCATTTTAATGTATGCCTCGTGGTTTGTTCCTTCATTTCAAAGGCACTAATTTAACCCTTTCACCTGCAGCTAATAACCGCAGACCAAACCGCAAAGGGTTGAGGAACGACAGAGACAAACCTCTGCCTCCTCTGCTTGCCAGGGTGGGGGGGAATATTGAGGTGAGTTCATTTTTTTTAATGTTTGCTCTAAAAGTAGATGAAGTGATTCTAAAAATATATATATTTTTTATATTTCTTTTAAAAATAATTGCAGGCTATGTCCTTTTGCTCTTTTTTGTGTGCAATAATCTAATCAGTTTTTCCAGGCAGACATGGAGTTCCCACTTTTTACTTTTTTCTCCTGCTATTATTTACAGAATTAGTTTTTGTTTTTCTTAATATTTGCATTTTTTAATAGCTTTTCTCAATTTAGAAATCATAAAAAAATGTGATATTACTGCAAATGTATTAATTAATTACTTATTTGGGATCTTTTGTAAAACGTCCAATTTAAACTGGAATATTTCATCACAATCACTGCTTTGCATTTTTAGTAATGCAAAACAAAAGAAAAAAATGATTATTTTTGTTCTTGTAAACCCAGCATCATGTGTCAACTTATAAAGCGAGCTAAACAAATTGTTATTTACCTTTTTAGGTGCTGGGCTTCAATGCACGGCAGAGGAAAGCTTTCCTCAATGCAGTTATGCGTTATGGGATGCCTCCTCAGGATGCCTTTACCAACCAGTGGCTGGTTCGGGACCTGCGAGGGAAGTCTGAGAAAGAATTTAAGTAAGTTTATTACCATCATGTTTTCTCTGTTAGTGGATTGTTAAATGATCAGATTTGACCCCTGACCAAAAATTCTCCTGCAGTCCTGTGTGTCTGTGTCATTTGAAATGTCTTGTGTTATATGTAAAGACCTCTGATAGTGTGGGGAAAAGCTGAAACGCAACCTAGGAGATTTTATAGCTTTTTTTCACAAAACCCTTGAAGGTATCTTAATATACCTTTTAAACAGTCTTCCTTTTTTGTAAAAAAAAAAATAAAAAATAAATAGTTGGCAAGAAAGCTGAAGTCAACCTGAATGGCTCTATAAAACAGCCTAATTGTAAAGGGGTTAAACTAGGCTTACGGCTCTAGTGGGTGTGATTGATGAGATGTAGGGTCAGATAGGTGGTGGATTTCATGCAGGAAACGCACCTACTGTAGATAATCTCTGTATAGTTTCTTTCAATGTGTAGCTCTCCATATTGACCCTTCAGAGCTCTCCTCTAAGTATCCTTTAATGCTAGGTTGGTTGTTTTAAAAACTCAAATACAAGTGGGATATTGTTGCCAATGATTTTAGGTTTATTTAACAGTTGGAGAATGGCTCATCTCTGCAGCCTTATGAACAAACAAGATTTTTGAAGCACTTCAGGTGTATAAGGCACAAGAACCATTTATCTGTATGTTTTGTACGCACACAACTAGAAATACACTGATATTTGTTCACATCAAAACAGAGTAAGTCTCCCATATCTGCAAATATGGTTTGTGCAGTGAAGATAATGCCGCTCATGCATGTCTGCTGTGTCACGTCTGCTTGCTCGTGTGAGGCTTCACTTTTTCACTTTTCACAAACAAGTTTGCACTTATGAGACAGTTTTGTTCACATCTTATGTTTTAACTGTCTGATTTACAAGTTTGCACTTTGTGTTTAAAGTGAAAGGAAAAAACAAAATACATGAGTATTTTGAAACACAGTTGAACCACTTTCATTATTGTAAAAACAGATCAAATCGAAATAAATCGATTTAGAACTGTTTGAATCAAATCGAATCGATACCCAGCCCTAATTACTTTTCAATTTTACGTTATTTGAAGCTAGTATGAATTTTTCATTTTCTTTGATAAGAGGGTATGTAAACTTTTAAGCACAACTGTAAATGGAACAGCCTGTTTTTTAAAAGACCTGGCTTAATTTTGGTGACAGGAAAAGTCATTATAGGAACATTTAGTATAACTTAATTAGAAAATATGCTTTGCTTTTTGCTGCAGAGATCTATAAACTATTTTTTAACCATCTCCAGGGCATATGTGTCTCTGTTTATGCGTCATCTTTGTGAACCGGGAGCTGATGGAGCTGAAACCTTTGCAGATGGTGTCCCACGCGAGGGTCTGTCAAGGCAACACGTGCTCACTCGCATTGGAGTGATGTCACTTATAAGGAAGAAGGTGAGGTTTATGCAGAAATGAGGGTATTTGCATGCATAGCTGAATAAAAGAAAGATTGACAGGCATGATATTCTGGTAAAACAGGTTCAGGAGTTTGAACATGTGAATGGACAATGGTCAATGCCCTGGATGGCAGAGCTGGAGGAGAATAAGAGAGCGGCAGCTTTGGCTGCAGGTGAAGATCCCAAAACCCCCTCCACTGGAACACCTGCAGACACGCAACCCAACACTCCTGTCCCAGGTAAACACTCATTTCCCAGCGTATTTGGAAATATTGTTATTTCAACATGTCTGAGTAGGCTTACCTTATAGAATATATGATGTATGGTGGTTGTTGTGATGTTCTTACACATCTTTAACAGACAATGCATCTTCATTTCCTCCATCCTTATCATTGTTTACTTGATCTTTATTTGACTTTTTAAAGACAAAAGAAGACCTAGATATAGGCCTTAGTTCATTCTCTGAAATTGCTTCCTCAGATTTGATAGATATTGTTTTGGTATTTCAATTTAATGTTTTTGGTTTTTATGTTTTTCTCAATTTTTTATTATTTTTTGGAAGAACTGGCGCCCTCTTGTGGAAATAGTTCTAGTAAAGCATGTTATAAATGATTAACTTTGTTAAGTAACATGGATTTTTAAAGCATATCCTTTATTGACTTATTTTTCCTTGTTTAGAGGATTTGTCTAAATCAGAAGACAAAGATGAAATGAAGAAAGGAGAGGATGGCAAAGTTGCTAAAAAGGGTGATGACCCAGAGGTACTTGAATTACTTTATAGCAAAATCTATAGTATAGTTGCAAAAAAATTGTTTCATCTGTTTTAAATTTTGGAACTGAATGTTATTTTTTTTTTTTAGATTATTGAAATCCCAGATGAATCAGAAAAATCTCCTGCTTCTGAAAAGAAAGAGGACCCTGCAGTCGAGGAGAAAGTAAAACAAGAAGGAGGTGAAGGGAGGGAGAAAGATGCTGAGAACATGAGCAAAGAGAAGGAAGAGAAGGCCAAAGCTGCTGCTGAGAGGGAAACCTCTGCCAATAACAAGGGTGAAGGTTCAGACAGCAGGATGGATTCAGAGGAGGACAAGTCAAAAGGTAAGAATGTGCAACTTTTTTTCTCATCTCTACAGCTTAAAGTGTGCTAAGAAAGAATCTGCTACGAGACTTATACTATTCTAGATATGAAAATTAACTACTGTAACAAACTACATAAGAATTGGTATGACTTCTTTTCAGAACCTTTTCTGTTCCTCCTCTTCTTAATTTTCTTGGTTAACTGAAATGTTTTTGAATTTTCTAAATGCATTTAAACAACATACAGGTGCATCTCAATAAACCAGAATACCACCAAAACACCATTAATGCAATTATTATCTATACACTCATTAAAGGCCTAGTGATTTATTTCAGACCAAATATTTTAGTTAATCCTGAGGATTATGGCTTTTAGCTAATGGAAAATGTCAGCCAACTCTTAGTCCTTCTATCTACTGTACAGTGTGTAAACACGGAACCTGGTCAGGGTGCCTTTCCAATCACATTAAGGTGGTATGGAATGATGGAGATTGGTATCAAGGAAAACCAAGGTGCTTTAGGCTTTAGTTTGTGTGTATTTTAATGCTCTGCCGTCTCCTATCTTTGTCCTTAACATAGTTTCCTTATGGGGTTTAGATCACATGAGTTTATGGGCCAATCATGTACAGTAATGACAGTCATCAAAACCAGGTATTGGTAAAGATGGCCAAGTCCTACTTGAAAATGCGATTAGCAGCTCCATAAAGTTTGTAACCAGAGAAAAGCGGAAAATGCTTTAAAACCTTCCCGGTAGATGACTGAGCTGACTTTGGACTTGATAAAAGAACAAAGAACGGCGGATAATTTATGGCTCCACAAATTATCACTGACTGTAGGAACTCTTTTTTTTAGACCTCAAAAGGCTTAAATCCTGGGCCTCCAGACTCTTCATCCAGGCTACAGGAACTGGACTTCCAGATAAAATGTCAAATTTGGTTTCATTTGAAAAGATAACTTTGTGATACTAAGCACAAATCCAGTCCTTGATCCTTGACCTTAGCCCAGGTAAAACGCCTTTGACATCGTCTCAGGTTCAGGTGTGGCTGGAGCAGAAACAAGCTACCTGCTGTAGCCCATGACCTGAGTATGTTTTATGGAGTTTTGATGAATGCCTTCTGAATCCAAAGTGGAGACTCCAAAATCTTGAATGAGAGTTGCAACACAATCCCCCCCAGGCTGTTTCTTATGGACAATTAATTTTGTCACAGCTTTCCCTCCCTTTTCCTTTCACTTAACAACATTCAAGTCAGTCAACTGCAATTGTCAGCTTCTTCAGCAATTTGTTTATTAATTTTTTATATCTTTCCCGCCTTGTGGTGGGTTTTAAAGACAGACTGCTGAACATATCCTAAGTCAGTACACTTCGCTATTTTTGTGTAAGCCATAACATAGTATTCCTGTATTATACATCCTTTTATATAAGTCTTCTAAATTATTTACATTTTCTGAGAAACAAAATTTGGCTTAAAGAAACTAAAATCATAAACATCAGAAACAAACACATAAAATATGTCATTCTGTATGAGATTAATCTACATGGTACATGGGTTTAAATCGGGTTACTGAAATAAATTTACTTCTTGGGATTATTATTTTGCATTGCCAATCATAGGCAAGGCAAGGCAAATTTATTTGTATATCACAATTCAGTACAAAGACAATGCACAGTGCTTTACATGATTAAAATACAGGAAGATAAAACAGAATCAAAGCAAGTAGGAAAAAAATAAAAATAAAATAAAAAATAATAAAATAAAATAAAAAATGCAGAAACAAAAAAACCTTGGTTTTCTTTTCTTTTTTTTTTTACTTAAAGAAAAGTGACAAATTGTAATTAGTTGCAGGGCTGTCCATGTTAATTAACCACCAGTTATTGCTTTCTCCAAGAACTCGCTAAGTGTTTCATCTACAGGACTATTCAATCACAGGATCCCAATAATCTCAAACTTGGCTCTTTTTTTCTTTTTTTAAAGCTTGAAAAGCCAAGTAGAATCTCCAGTTGTCGTATCAGAATAGCCAGATAACCAGAATAATGTACACATACACAAACCACCATGATCAGGCACTCTTTTTATCCACCTGTCCTTATATTTCTCTTTTAAGCTTCTTTTTCTGCTTCTCTTCTTTTAGCTGAAGATGGCAAAGACGATAAGATGGATACTACTTCACCAACAGAGGAGAAAAAAGGTGCAGACACAAATACTTAACATTATTTTTCATGTTGGATGTTAAGATGAAGATTTAGTTTATTAGACTCCAACTATGCAGGGCTCCAGACCAAACGTTTGACTTTTGTTGCACTGGTCCTCTTTATGCTAAGTAATGCTACATTCAGATGTGGAGTGTGAAGTAGCATTACTGTCTCAGCGGAGTATATTTGCAGGCCTTTTCAGTGCATCTTCAGCTGCTTACCATTACAACATTTGAAGTAGCTTTATTTTTATTATCCTATGCATACAGTGATAAAAGTAGCCCTTTATTAGAAGTTTATTAATAGTTTATAATTCTCGCGCTCTACAGAATAATTAAGGTTGGCAATACCATCATAGTTTTGTGTTGAAAATACTTACAATTAAAATTGCATACCAGTAAAAGTCAATAGATTATTAGACTAATTCTTATTTGTTCATTTTTGTTTTATTCATGGTTAACTTTAATTCCATCACCAACATAGCCAGAATGCCCTCTTTATTGTTAAGGCTTTTATTTTAAAACTTAGTTGAATGTTTTGGGTGCATGGTTTTGCCATCCAGTCACTATGAAATGCTCCTGGTGCATCTTGTTGTTCCACAGATCAGGAAGAATCTGGGTTTTTGCACAGAAAAATTGCTGGGGACACCAGTGCAACCAAATCTAAATCTATGGTTATGTTAATTGTTGCACATTGAAAACTCTGACATGCCTTTGTTCCCTCTGCTCTTGATCTTTAATAATTTGTTGGAACTTTGAGTGTTAATTAAAGTGTTTTATACGCCGCAGAGCAAAAGGAGGAAAAAGACGGAACAAAAACGGATGATTCTGGAAAACTGCAGAATGGCGAGAACGGCAAAGAGGGAGGAACAGCTGCATCTGCAGTCAACATCAATGAGGAGAAGAAGAAGGCCTCCAAGCAGCGGTTCATGTTTAACATCGCTGACGGCGGGTTCACAGGTGAAAAACTTTCCTTCCACCTTTGTCCTTTTTTCTATTTCATTTCTGTCTCTTTGACGTTTTTGTCCTTTTTCCCAGAGCTTCACTCTCTGTGGCAGAATGAAGAGAGGGCCGCCACCGTCACCAAGAAGACTTATGAGATCTGGCACCGCCGCCACGACTACTGGCTCTTAGCGGGAATTATACAGTATCCTTTAATACTTATCTATTAGTAAAACATATAAGTTGGGATTCTTATTCTTTGTATATGGCTTACTTTAAGTACCCTACTCAATGCTGGTGTTTTATTGTTTGAAATAAGTGATAGCTGAAGTACTAAAAGTATTCACAAAGAATCCTGTCATTAAAAGTTGCCTGTGCTGACGTTGATTTAAGATAATCCTTAGAATCCTCATTCTATGGATTTTCTAACATTTTTATTGCTGCAAGATAAGTTGTTTACAGAAAACTTCAGGCCCTAAGAGAGCTCATAAAGTGTAAAAAATGTTTAGAGTCTAGAGGAGTCAAGATGAAGGAAACCTAGAGAGCAGTTTGGCTGGATCGAACACATTAACTTCCTAAACTCTCATACAGTTATTTAGATAAGATTAGATTATATTTAGTATCCCCCTGATGGTAAATCCAATAGTTTCAGGAGCTGGGGGTTTAGAGTTTCACTTCTAGTAATTTCTTTTGAGTATAAATAAATAAATAATGGAAACATAACATAAAAAATAGTGCAGAATAATTATTTATAATAATTTAAATGCTATTTACAGACTTCTAAATGTGAATTATTGTGTGCGTTTTAAAAGAATTGGAAAAGTTGCAAAATAATTTAAAATGTATAAATTCAGCCACAGATAAGATAAACAGTAGAATAGACTATATACATAGAAGGAAGATTTTTATTAGGGTGAATAAGGAGCTGCTATATTGAGTAGATGAGCCATAGTACTCGTCTAGAAATCTGATTGTGTGCTGCCATCTTCTCTCTTTCTTTTGGCTGCAGCACGTAGCTTTTGGAGCTAGCTGATTCACTCTCAGGCTAAAACTCCTTTCCAGGAATTTAAAGGCTAAGTTAGGAGCTCTCAGATGGGACTCTGGGAATCTTTGTGAATACAGGAGGTGATTTATATTTCATTACAGGTAATAACTATCCATTTAAATGTACCTGTGTTGTTTGGATAAGGGATGTCATATAGAACGTCTCAGTCCTCGACTGTAATCTGTGCAGAGACAACACTTGTTGTTGCCCTTGACTCTTATGTCCCACAGACATGGTTATGCTCGATGGCAAGATGTGCAGAACGATGTGCGGTTTGCCATCATCAACGAGCCCTTTAAAGGGGAGATGAGCAGAGGGAACTTCCTTGAGATTAAGAATAAGTTTCTGGCCCGACGGTTCAAGGTGAAAAATTATGTAGCTGCAAAGACCTTTGTGATCAGGTCTGTTTGTGTTGAACCTCACTGACTGACGCTGGTTTGTGTTTTATTTGTTCTAAAGTTACTGGAGCAGGCGTTAGTGATTGAGGAACAGCTGCGTAGGGCAGCCTACCTGAACATGACGGAGGACCCAGCTCACCCCTCCATGGCACTCAACACTCGCTTCAGCGAAGTTGAGTGTCTTGCAGAGTCCCATCAGCATCTCAGCAAAGAGTCCATGTCTGGAAACAAGCCTGCCAATGCAGTGCTGCATAAAGGTACAGTTTGCATAGAGTTATCATTAAACTACACACCAATATTGACAGAATAAAAATGATTGTTCAACTTATATTTGTTAACACCAAGTATGTGATCAGTGAAAACCTATTTATGAAAAATACCAAACAATAACTTTGTTACTTTGGTTATGCTTTAATGCTTTGAAAATCAGATTTTCTCTGGGACACCAAATATGCTTTTTGTGAATAGGTTCCAAATTAAAGAGACACTATCTTTTGCTGAAAAACATGGAAACTGCCATTTCTGTTTTTCACTCATACACTACAAATTACATATTGTTTTTAAATAACTTGTAGTGAGTAACATATTCCAGTTCTGCTTAAAGTATTTTAGATTTTTTTTAAACATCTAAAGAGCAGAAAATAAATAGAAGAGATACCAAGAAAAAAAAAAATATATAGTGATGAGCTAAGAGAAAAGCAAAACAATTACTCTCCTAATATCATGTACGTTTTTGAAAAGGAATGAGAATTAGAAAACTTTTGATTCCTCCCCTTCTCTAAAACTTGAAACACCCTTCCTCTGTTTATCTTGTTTTTAATTATACAATAATTAAACAAACACTATGTAATTTTTGACCCAAATATACGCTTAGAGAGATTTTAAATGATTTTTGAGGTCTGCATAAAGCTCTTGGTGTGTGTGTGTGTGTGTGTGTGTGCATGCTGCTCTTCTTAAAAATTATCTTATTTACCTTGAGAGGGTTGGATTGATTACTGAATGGGCCATGTCACTCAGAGCACCGCTTTAAGGCAGTCCTATGCTTAAACTTGGGTGTTGACTAGGCTAAAAGCTGTTCTTAGGCAGTAAAACAGATATGACATCTACCAGATCAGGCACATTTTTCTTCACTGATGTAGGAAGCAGGTAGTCAGTGGGCTGACTACCTGTTCTCTGCTTCCAATTTTGAGGCTGGTGCCGGTAGCTGTGGTTGTCGTGGTGGCAATCCTCAAACCCGGTGGTGGACACAGGCAGTAAGGGATGCTGTCGAGCTGAAGGAGTCCTATCGAGCCTGGTTGGCTTGTGGGACTCCTGAGCTGCAACCAGGTCACATGAGGCCAAGTGTTGCGCTGCCGACTGGTCTAGGAGGCAAAACCGCTGGCCTGGGAGGAGTGTGGAGAGGCCATGGAGAAAGACTATGGGTTGGCCTAAAGGCAATTCTGGCAAACCATCCAGCGGGGAAACCAGTGCTTTGCTAACTCTTTTTGTAAGTGGGTGTGGGGAGCTGCTGACTCCCAAAGAGAACATTGTTGGACAATGGAAGGAATACTTTGAGGACGTCCTAATCCGATTAACAGACCCTCCGTGATGGTTCAGGAGCCAGCAGATCTCAGTCCTGCTCTTTGCAGATGACGTTCTGCGGCTACCTCTTGCCAAGACCTACAGCATGCACTGGGGGGGTCTGCAGCCAAGTGTGAAGCCGCTGGAATGAGAATCAGCTCCTTCAAGTTCGAGGCCATGGTTCTCAAAAGTAAAAAGGTGGCCTATCCCCTTCCGGTTGGAGGAGAGTTTCTGTCTTAAGTGGAGGAGTCCAAGTATGTTGCAATCCTGGTCATGAGTGAGGGGAAAATGGATTGGGAGATCGATAGACGGTTCTAACAAAAATAATAATCCTCAATAAAGATCCTATATCATCAAAGCTAGATAAAGCTAAATAAGCTAAATAATTTAATCAGCTTTTTTGGATTTAAAAGCTGCTAAAATATATTGTTCAAAGTTGTTTTTGTTGGTTTCTGTCTGAGCTTCTTACATAGATGGGTTCCGTTGCTTATAGATGAAGTTTTCCTTTCAGTAAGGCTTACATAGGGCAAAGGTGGTGATGAATGCTGATGTTAGAAATAATAATTACTTCTGCTGGAATGGGAGAAGGTGGTAATTTAATGAAATACAACAGTGCAGAGGCGTTGAAAAGAGAGAAGAGAAGCTTACATGTTATAATTAAGTTCATTAATTATAAAATGTCATCCTAAATGTCAGAATGTAGTGGGGAATCCTGGTGCAACCTTTTTGATGATGACCTTTTATTTCAGACATGTATGCTTACAGCAATGTTTTGTCAGATGCTGGAGATTCCCAACAGATCAGCAACCATCCTGACCCTGAATGTTAAAAAAAAACTAAAATACTGAAGAAAAAAAAAACTGTAAATCATACCAGTCTTCATCAAACTGACCAATGTGTTATTTTAGAACCATTTTTTTCCCCAATGTTAACATTTAATCAATGGTGCACTTTAAGAATTGGAAATGTCATGACAGCTGTAGAAAATGAAATTTCGTCTTGCATACATTCTGTGTCTACAAAATGACAATAAAGTTTGTCTAAGTCTGATGCAGTTTGGTTGCTCTTGGACAGTTACAAATTCATAATGGGGTGTGTCTGTTGTCACAATGATCTCCTGTGATGAAACGTGGGCAGACATAATCACTAACTTCTCTATTCTCCATGGTTGCATTTGATAAAGTGGAAGAGAAATGATCATTGCATATTTACCTTATGTTTACTGACAAACATCCCAAAAAAAAAAAAAGGAACCATTTCAGATGCCAAAATAAAAAAAAACCAAAGTTGAGGCAGAGGTATAACTGATGACAGTAAAAAGCTAAAGGGATGTAGAAAAAGAATCTAACGAGCATTTATTTTTTAATCAAAGGTAACTTGGCAGTCAGTAAACAGTGCAGCATGCTCCTTTTAGAAGCAGGAACTTACAGAAGCTTTTAAAGCCCAGGTCTCATTATGGTGGTTTGTTGGTGTTTATGGCCATACAATATGATTGTGACAGCTTTAAAGCCATTGTTTTACCGGTATAAAAGGAGCAAAGAACAACACAGACATGGAGATGCAGCAACAGATTTGATCACTGCAGAAAAATAATGATGTAGCAGGCAAAGGCTACAGCTGGAAAGGGAAACCAGCAGCCCAAGAACATAGATTATATTCCTACTAAGATGTATGGGTTATATATGAACAAGAGAAAAGGAAGATCTCCAAAAAAGGTTACCAACTACTAGTCTATTAAAATGTAGTGATTAATAATAGAAAGGAAAATATTGAATATTAAGGGCTGAGATTTGCAGCAGGACGGCTCGATAACTATAGCAGATGAAATACATTTTTTTTTTTTTTTTTATTATTTTCAATAGTGTAATTTCTGCCAGGCTAATGGAGATTTGAACTATGTGCTAATTTTATATGTTGATCAATTAATGTTTTTGTAGCGAAGCTGAGACAGCAGATTTAAGATTGTTTGTTTTGTCTCCAGTTCTTAAACAGCTGGAGGAGTTGCTGAGCGACATGAAAGCCGATGTCACCCGCCTGCCGGCTACCATTGCCAGGATACCCCCCGTTGCCGTACGGCTGCAAATGTCCGAGAGGAACATCCTCAGCAGATTGGCCAGCCGGGGCCCTGAGGTCACAGCTCAGAACCAATCCCAGACATCACAGCAAATGCAGGTGCCACGCTGACCAATCCCAACGCACCTTTTCTTTCCTTTTTTGCTCTTTGACTGATGCCGAGTCACGCTCACCTCACCGCCATGTAGCAGACGTCCTTTATTTTAATCACCATGTACAGCACGGTCAGGTCTGTCCCCCTTGCTCTGCACCTACAACTTGTCTCCGGAACATCAGCTGTGCAGTTGGACTTTATATGGAAAGGAGTAGAGATGTTGTTACATGATGGAAAATAAATCCAAACATTTCTTCTTCTGGGATCAGATTAATCTCTTCCGTTCTGAGCACTTTTGACAGCTAAAGATCCACATTTCCTGACTGCAGGGTTTAATGTGTGTGTAGTAATAAACAGAAGGGCATGAAATCGGAGCAAAAGCATCATGTTTGAAGTTTTCCGGTTCCTTTGTATTAACTTTTAGATTGCTGAAGGATTTTACTTTGTTTATTTTCACCTATAGGAACTTGTGAAACTTTTATCATTTTTGTTAGATTCTGTCAGACTAAAATGTTGTCTCTGCAGTGCTACCAGGATGGGTGTGTGTGTGTGTGTGTGTGTGTGTGTGGGTGTGTGTGTGTGTGTGTGTATGATGGAAGCATGTTTCACACACAGCATTTTAATATATCCTACTGCAGAATGCCTCGTCACTGACAGTCCCTTCCTGTCATTGATGCGTGAGTCTGTCGGTTCTTTTACCACCTCTTGTTTCCGTCCTCCCAGCTGCCCCATCAGGTGAGCTGATCTGGGACCAGCTCTTTGTCTACATACCCCAACTAGAACCATGACATTCCCAACACAGATTTGCTCAGCTATTTCCTAAAAAAAAAAACTAAAATGAAATCATCTCCATAGCTTTTTTGGTACATTGAACAGTTTTGAGAAAATAGCAAAGTTTGGTTAATTTAATTTTTATTATTGTCTACTGTTATGTTTTACCTTATATATATTGTTACGACCTTGTTGTTTTGTTGTCGCTGTTTGTTTTTATGAACAATAATAAAAAGTCAAATGGTTCTCATTTCTTTATTTTTCTCATTTCTGTACAAAAAAGCAAAAACAACTTTTGCTCAATTATGAGACCTATCGTATTTGTTATTAACTAATTATTATCAGGTATTTATCTCTGTAATACGTAGACTTTGATGAGTTAAAAAGGCTCAGCTGAAGGTGTCCTAAATTATTTATACCCCCAATACCTATAAACAAAGGCAAATATTTCAGGTTATGCCTCTACAAGCTTTGCATAAATGAAGACTGAAAACCCCATTCATCTTTACAGTCTTTAAATGAACAGCATCTGGAATCTATTCTCAGTTGGAATTTAGGTTTTGACTGATTTTAAGGCATCAGCATTTAACTGATTTCTTTTTTTTTATTCTTAATTTAATCTACACCATTTCATTACAGCTCTGGATGCATTATTAAACCTACTGTCCTGCTGGAACATGGACCTTCACCTCTGTTTGAACTCCTGCAGCCTCTAACAGTATTTTTCCATGATTGTCCTTTATTTACATTTATTTATCTTCCATCAACTACAGCCAGCTTCCTTATTCCTGCTGAACAAAAGCATCCCAAACCAGATGATGCCACCATGTTTCACAGGGAATGAGTTGTGTAGAGTAAACTCATTTCTCTCCACTCATACAATTGTGCATTTTGCTTTTAGAGTTCAACTTTATCCTCATCTTAAACCAGTTTGTTGTTGAAATACAAACCCTGCTACTTATGATTTCTTCTTGCCACTCTTTTGAAATGTCAGGTTTATGGGGTGAATTACTAGTAACACCCTTTTCTTGAGCCATAGATTGAGTTAAATTGGCTAAATACAAAGCCAACACTCAAAGTTGTTTTTTTTTTCTGTAAGAAAAAAAAGAACAACTGAATTAGCTTAGCTAGGTGCCAATGTCTTGTTTGAACATTGAGCATGAAGAGCTCTCCATGCTTTGCATGTAGGTCTCATAAAAAGAGCTGGAATTTACATGCAGGCAAATAAAGACTACTGGAGATAAAAACATATCTTCCCCATGGAGCAGGTTGTGAGAGGAGGATCTGGAGGAAAGCTGACAGGAAAAGACGTATTTTCCTTCCGCAGATAATGCAATAATTAAGAAGAATTAGAGTAAATTACAGGGTGGGAGGAGTGGGTGGTTTTTGATAGCTTATCATAAAAACAGATGTAGGCTTCAGTTTGGACTTGTTAAAGGGTCAATGGAAAATGGAGAAAAGAACAAGAAGAATTTATGCTTAACTCTGGAAATTATTTGTGAGTTGAAAAAACTCTGACAAAACTTGGTTTGTTCATAAGGAGACCACAGGATTATAATCACCTCCTGATCAGGACCAGTCCAACTGTGTTTGGATACCAAGAGGAATCCAGAAAATGTCTTGTGGGTGAGTATTTTATATTTTTTGATTTTTGAAGATCGTTTTTTCCTCCCTCTGCCAATTTCTGAGGTGTTATTTTTCTCTATTCTTTTCCACTTTGATTTGTCTGCCTGCTGGTAAATTATCTCAACAAATTGGAACTCATTTGATGACAAGTGGTAAAAAGTTATTTCATTACATGACCAAAGCCATAAATGATCTAACATCATCTTCTAAACCTGTGGGTTATTTTTAAGTTTTGAAATTCCTAATCTATGTTTTTCCTTTTTAAAAATAATAAAACATATTAGTAGGGGTGTGCATTGGCACTGCCCTCACGATTCGATTCGATTAAGATTCACCAGGTAACGATTCGATTCCACGATGCATTGCGATGCATCAAAATCCCACTGACTTCGTAAAATCCGAAATGTGCCCAGATATCCGCTTTCCAAGCTTTTGGTGCGTTTTTAATTAGGCCTACCCGTCTATCGCGGTCATCTCCCTCCGCCTCAGCCATCTTGATTGTTGTTGGTATGCCACCGGAAGTAATTGAAACTTCACAACTTGTCCATTTGAGGCCAGAAAATAAACTGTGACATAATCGATTATGGCACATTGCTGCATCGATGCTGAATCGTGCATGCCCCGCATTGCAATGCATCGCTGAATCGATTATTGTTGACACCCCTACATATTAGATCCCGCTGGTAGGTAGGCACTTATACAGTTTCATAGGTGGATGTTTCTCAGATAATGGAGCAGGTTTCTTCATTTTTAGGGGATGTTGACTATTAACTGTAAACATTTCTTCTTTGGGGTCAAAAATCGCTGGAGAAGGTTTTTATTTGCATATGAAAAGATGAAGTGTGTGGATTTTTCAAATATTTTTCAGGTTTATCTCTTCCCTCTTTTCTCCTTCCTTCCTTCCTTCCTTCCTTCCTTCCTTCCTTCCTTCCTTCCTTCCTTCCTTCCTTCCTTCCTTCCTTCCTTGTATTCAGTTCAACCCTTCCATCCATCCATTCAGTTCGTCCCTTCCTTCCATCCATTCATTCAGTTCATCCCTTCCATCCACCCATTCAGCTCATTCCATCCATCCATTCGGTTCATCCATTCGGTTCATCCATTCGGTTCATCCATTCAGTACATCATTCAGTTCATCCCTTCAGTTCATCCATTCGGTTCATCCATTTGGTTCATTCATTCGGTTCATCCATTCGGTTCTTCCATTCAGTTCTTTCCATCCATCCATTCGGTTCATCCCTTCCTTCCATCCATCCAGCTCTTTCCATCCATCCAATTAGTTCATCCAATCATTTCATCCATTCAGTTTATCCCTTCCATCCATCCATTCAGTTCATCCCTTCAGTTCTTCCATTCAGTTCATTCCATCCATCCATTCGGTTCATCCATTCAGTTCAACCCTTCCATCCATTCAGTTCATCCCTTCCTTCCATCTATCCAGCTCTTTCCATCCATCCAGTTAGTTCATCCAATCATTTCATCCATCCAGTTTATCCCTTCCATCCATCCATTCAGTTCATCCCTTTAGTTCATCCCTTCAGTTCTTCCACTCAGTTCATTCCATCCATCCATTCGGTTCATCCATTCGGTTCATCGTTCAGTTCATCCCTTCAGTTCATCCCTTCGGTTCATCCATTCGGTTCATCGTTCAGTTTATCATCCATTCAGTTCATCCCTTCAGTTCATCCATTCCGTTCATCCCTTCCATCCATCCATTCAGTTAATCCCTTCAGTTCATCCATTCCGTTCATCCCTTCCATCCATCCATTCAGTTCATCCCTTCAGTTCATCCATTCCGTTCATCCCTTCCATCCATCCATTCAGTTAATTCCTTCCTTCCTTCCTTCCGTTCATCCCTTCCATCCATCCATTCAGTTAATTCCTTCCGTTCATCCCTTCCATCCATCCATTCAGTTAATTCCTTCCGTTCATCCCTTCCATCCATCCATTCAGTTAATTCCTTCCTTCCTTCCTTCCTTCCTTCCTTCCTTCCTTCCTTCCTTCCTTCCTTCCTTCCTTCCTTCTGTCTCTCTCATGAATAGGCTAAAAGGACTGATTTTGGAGGTTCGGAAAAGTGACTGTTAAAACCACTAAACAATCACAAAAAACTGGTAGTAGGCTTCATAATATGCAAAACATTTGATTCTGAAATTTTGTGTGGAAATCAGTTATTTCTTAAATGTGGTAATTGTATTCCCTTAGTGTGACATCTTTCCCCTAACTGACAGTGTGAACATTATCACAAAGGAACAAGGATGCAAATGCATTCAAACCTCAAAACAGCAACAGTCTTCATGCTTTCCAACAGTTGGATGGTTATAACAGTGAGAGAATTGATTAAACATGACATAATCATGGGAAACATCCTCGTTGTAATCCTGCAGCTGTGAAAGCTGAACCAGTGTAAGTTTTGCATGTGCATGCATTTGCTTAAGTCGTGAACAAGGGAAGAAAAGGCAAACCACCTCTAACTGTTGCAGACAGCGAAGGAGGAATACAATGCAAGCTGCTGGCGTTAACCACGACGACACCTGCAGGGCTGCATGTGTGTTGGTATGTCTGCTTGCTGGGGGCAGGGTGAAACTCCACTGTTATGTGTGAGTGGGTGTTTCTATCTGTGAATGTGTGTGTGTGTGTGTGTGTGTATATATATATATATATATATATATATATATATATATATATATATTACTCCTCTGGTTTTCCCTTTCTTTACATTATTATGCTGACACTTTTAAAATGGAAAAACTAGTTTTACATGAATGTAACTGTGTTTCTGCAAATGAAAATAATTTGCAAATTAAGCACAGACTGTCTGTCTGTGAAATGTGTCCTTGCTGTGTAACCAAATGTTTGAAGTGATGCACACATTTTGTATGCAGAGGAAGCAGATCTTTTTCCCTTTTGTAGCTTTCTATATTATTTGCTTTGGGTTGATATTTATCAGCGGATTTAGATTTAGCCTTTATCTATTAACTCATTTTGATTAAATGTTTACCACTTCAAATATTTATGTAGCATAAACACACCCACACAGGCACATTTTACAGAGGGGGGGGAGGTCAGATTCTAAATGAGGAAGTACTCTGTGACTCTGACCTTTGTGTGTTTTGTGCGTGCATTCATACACACCATGAAGTAAAGGGCAAACAGCAGTATTGGCAGACAGGTGGGAGGTAGAAGGTAGCTCTGTGTGTGTTATTGTGTAGATCCATGCGCTGTAGAAGAGATCTTTTTTTCCCTTTTAATAGTTGTATTTCGGTTCAGCTTAATGGAGTGTTTGGTCGCTGTCAATCCGCCGGTGAATGGAGCTGCCTGAGCTGACCTTGCTGTTTGCGCCAAAGTCTGCACAGGAAACTTCAGTGATGGAGCCTAAACTGTTGCTGTTCTCAGATTTGACAAGTTCTTGTTGCGGTTGTCATTAAAAAAAAAGAGTGAT